CAGGACAGCCTCGCGGTGTGAGAGTAGACAGAGGCCAGGACAGTCTCGCGGTGTGAGAGAGGACAGAGGTCAGGACAGTCTTGCGGTGTGAACTCTGCCCAGGCCTAGGCCGGGACAGAGCGCCCGTGCTTATCCACAGACGACTCCGGCTGGCAGCAGGTTGCAGGAGTGCGCGTATTGCTGGGTCTTAAGTCTTTAATTAGTGGTGAGTTATCTCATGCCAAATACCCCCCTCCCCCTGCATCTCCACACCGCACTGCCCCCTCACTGCTCCGCTGGGCTAAAGCCCGGTGACAGGGGGAGATTACTGGCCTTTTTATAGCCTACCCTGTCCACACCACGGCCGGCCTGTCTCCCTGGCCGAGCCCCTCCTTCCACCTGCTCCGCTCGCCCCGCGGGCCGGCCATTCGGATCCCCATGAGCTGGCCAGGCGAGAGCACAGAACCACAGCGACAGGTGAGGTGATCTGTCATGTCACCAGCAGAGGGCGCTCCAGCTGGCTGCCTCCAGTGGCTGCAGTTTTCAGAGACAGTGGCTTCAGCCAGTAAAATTGTCAGAAAGAGGGAGGTTCAAGACAGGGGTGGTTGAGAGAGAGGTGGAGAGGCTCCACAGACATCAGTCGGCGGTTTCACCGTGAATTCTGCAGCTGAAGGCGGCGGACAGTGTCTATAGTCCTGTGGCGTCTCTGCTTGGTGAGAGCCGGGCGCTGCGCTGCGCTTCGGCCAGAGAGGCCTGGGAGGCGGCGTCTCCCAGATGGGGTGGTGGGGCGGGGGGGTCAGGACAGGACACGAGGGGCAGGAGGGGGCAGTTGGCCGCTTGTTGCAGAGGCAGTGGGCGTCATCGGTTTCCACATGCATGATCAATGAGGTTGAACAGAAGAGAGTGAGGGGGAGGGGTGCAGGAGAGGGAAGAGCCTGGAGCCGCTGGAGGGTGGGGGGGGACTGAGGGAGAACCAGAGGAAAGGAGCAGAGGAGTGACGGGGAGAGGAGCAGGGAATCGGCAACAGGAGGTAAAGAACAGGAGACGGGTGTGGGGTCAGAGCCAGAGAGGGCAAACAGAAGAGAGGATGGGAGCCCAGTTCTCTCCAGGTGGCTCCCAGTCCATCTGCAATCAGCTAGTTTTCACACAGCCAGTGTGAGAGTCGGTGTGTAAATCAGTGTGTCAGTGTGAGAGTCAGTGTGTCAG